TCACCACTCTGGGCTATCTGCGTTTCTGCCTCACTTTACCTCTCTTCCTGTCTCTCCTCTTTGGGCCTCTCTGTCCCTCTCTCCCACTTCCTGTGGTCTCAGTCTTTGGTTTTTGTTTTTTTAGTTGTTGTCTTATTTTGAGATGGTGTCTCACTCTGTCGCCCAGGCTGAAGTGCAGTGGCACGATCTCAGCTCACTACAACCTCCGTCTCCCAGGAGTAATTCTCCTGGCTCACTCTTTCTAGAAACTGGGATTACAGGTACCTGCCACCATGCCCAGCTAATGTTTGCATTTTTCATAGACACAGGGTTCACTGTGTTGGTCAGGCTGTCAGTCTTTGTTATTCTGTTTTGGGTAATACACCTCAGCTTGTCTTTCCTCCCTCCCTCCATGCCTCCCTTTCTTTTCTTTTCTTTTTTGGAGATAGGCTCTTGCTCTGTCACCCAGGAGAGTGCAGTGGCACAATCGTGGCTCGCTGCAGCCTTGAACTCTTGGGCTCAAGCAATCCACCTGCCTGACCATCCGAGTGCATGGCTGGGACTACAGGCACAGGCCACCAGGATCAGCGAATTATGTTTTTTTTTTTTGTAGAGGCAAGGTCTTGCCATGTTGCCCAGGCTAGTTTCAAACTCCTGGGTTCAGAGAATACAATCCTCCTGCCTTGGCCTCTCAACTTGCTGGTATTACAGACAGATGAGAGCCAGCAGGGCCTGTGTTTCTTCATCTCTTTGCAGCCATCTCTTTCCCCTGTGTCTCCTGTCTGTGTTCTGTCTCACTCTGTCTCTTTCTCACTCCTTTGTCTTTGTTTTTGTTTTGTTGTTGTTATGTTTTTGTTTGTTTTGTTTTTTTGAGATGGCGTTTCACTCTTGTTGCCCAGGCTAGAGTGCAATGTGATCTTGGCCCATTACAAACTCTGCCTCCCAGGTTGGGGTGATTCTCCCGCCTCTGCCTCCTGAGTAACTGGGATTAAAGGCGCCCGCCATCACACCCGGCTAGTTTTTCATATTTTTAGTAGAGACAGGGTTTCACTATGTTGGCCAGGATGGTCTCGAACTCCTGGGCTCAAGCGATCCGCCCACCTCAGTCTCCCGAAGTGCTATGGTTACAGGCGCGACCGACATGCCTGGCCGCTCCTTCTTTGTCTTTGTGTCTGTGGCTCTCACGGTTCCAGCCCTCAGCATGGTTTCTCCCAGCCAGTTGACTGGCCGTGTTATAGCCAGCCCTGTAACCCATCTCTGGGTATCCTGGGGAGACTGTATTTCACTGTTTCCATCTTCTGCGCTGCTCTTCTCCCAGCCTCTTAGTCTATTTTAGCTTCTTTTCTGTTTATTTCTGCCTCTCTCTCTTTTTAAACTTCATCCCCCAAATATTTATTGAGTAGCTATTCCATGCCAGGCATGACTCTAGGCACTGGAGGTGGAGTGGGGACCAGGGCGGAACATGTACCAGCCTTCGAAGAATGTTCCTTCCAGTGGAGAGACAGGCAGCAGGCAAAAGAAAAGCAAGAACGTGACCTGACTGCCCAGCTCGTCCCATGGGGCAGAGAATTGTTGGCGAGGCCAGGCCAGGCTGTGGGCAGGGACTCAGGCCTGTGAGGGGGGCTGGCTGTGCTCTGAGCTTCGCCTGAAAATTCCTCATCCCTAAATAGCAACTGTGGCTGGGTGCAGTGGCTCATGTCTGTCAACCCAGCACTTTGGGAGGCCGAGGCAGGTGGATCACAGGGTCAAGAGATTGAGACCATCCTGGCCAACATGGTGAAACCCGTCTCTACTAAGAATACAAAAATTAGCCGGGCGTGGCCACCTCTGCCCATAGTCCTAGCTATTCAGAAGGCAGAGATCACACCACTGCACTCCAGCCTGGGCAACAGAGCAAGACTCCATCTCAAAAAAAAAAAAAAAAAAACCAGCAACTGTGGACCACTTGAGAAACTAAACTGGAGTGTTTAATCCATGTGCTCACTCAACAGCATTCATGGTGAGCTAGGCTGAGGGAGACAACAGCAAACGTCTGGCCAGGCATGGCTCACACCTGTTATCCCAGCCTTTGGGAGGCCGAGGAGGGAGGATCTCTTGAGCCCAGGAGTTGGAGACCAGCATGGATGACATAGGGAGACCCCATCTCTACAAATAAATTTTAAAAATTAGCCAGGTGTGGTGGCATGCACCTGTAGCCCCAGCTACTTGGGAGGCTGAAGTGGGAGGGTCACCTGAACCTGGGAGTTCGAGGTAGGATGAGCTATGATGGCACCACTGCACCCCAGACTGGGCAACAGAGTGACACTGTGACTCAAAAAAAAGAAAAAGAAAATGGGCATATTATACATAAAATTCAGGCATTCCAGTTTCTTTTCAAAGAAAAAAATCAGCTCTGGCAACATTTGGCTTATTCCACATGACCATAATTGTTTGGTGCTTTGTCAAGGCTGTCCCTTTGTCGGGGGGTTGCAGCCTCCAGAACCCCCAGTCCCCAGCAGGTCCTTATGTTCCCAACACGGGGGTCCAGGTCTGCTTGCCCATGTCACTGCAGAGCTTACGCTGTGGCTCTACTTCTTTCTTTTGTGAGACAAGGTCTCACTCTGTCACTCAGGCTGGAGTGCAGTGGCACAATGTCAGCTCACTGCAACCTCTGCCTCCTGGGTTCAAGCCATTCTCCTGCCTCAGCCTCCCAAGTAGCTGGGATTAAAGGCACCCAGTACCATGCCCAGCTAATTTTTTGTATTTTTAGTAGAGACAGGGTTTCACTATGTTGGCCGGGCTGGTCTCAAACTCCTGCTCTCAGGTGATCCACCCACCTTGGCCTCCCAAAGTGCTGGGATGACAGGCGTGAGCCACCATGCCCGGCCTGTGGCTCTAGTTTCACTCAGACTTCCGATGATCTGAGGGGGGGGCTCTCTTTATAAGCAGAATTCACCAGCGGAATTATCCATCCTGTCTCCATCAAAAGTGGAGAAATGGGGGCACACTGGCTCACTCCTGTAATCCCAACACTTGGGGAATTTGAGAACAGTCTGGGCAACGTAGCAAGAACCTGTCTCCAAAAAAAAAAATTTTTTTTTTTTGAGATGGAGTTTCGCTCTTGTTACCCAGGCTGGAGTGCGATGGCACGATCTCGGCTCACCGCAACCTCCGCCTCCTGAGTTCAAGCAATTCTCCTGCCTCAGCCTCCCGAGTAGCTGGGATTACAGGCGCGCACCAGCATGACCAGCTAATTTTTGTATTTTTAGTAGAGACGGGGTTTCATCTTGTTGACCAGGATGGTCTCGATCTCTTGACCTCGTGATCCACTCGCCTTGGCCTCCCAAGTGCTGGGATTATAGGCATGAGCCACCGGGCCCGGCCCTCCAAAAAAATTTTTTTTTAAGCAGTTTTGTTCTTGTTCCCCAGGCTGGAGTACAGTGGCACGATCTCCACTCATTGCATCCTTTGCCTCCCGAGTTCAAGCAATTCTCCTGCCTCAGCCTCCCAAGTAGCTGGGATTACAGGCGTGCTCCACCACGTCCGGCTAATATAGTATTTTTAGTAGAGATGGGGTTTCACCATGTTGATCAGGCTGGTCTCGAACTCTTGACCTCAGGTGATCCACTCTCATTGGGTTCCTTGACCTCCCAAAATGCTGGGATTACAGGTGTGAGCCACTTCGACCAGCCCCCAAAATAATTTTAGAGACCGGTGTGGTGGCATGCACACCTGTATTCCCAGTTAGTCAGGAGGTTGAAGTGGGAGAATCACCTGAGCCCAGGAGGTAGAGGCTACAAGTGAGCCATGATCACCCCACTGCACTCCAGCCTGGGCAAATGAAGTAGGAAAATGAAAGGTTACATCACAGGGTCGTGGCAGAGCCCAGCTTTTGAGTTTGCAATCCCGACAAACTCAATCTAACCTCCCTCTAGCATCTTTCTGACTGCTCTGCAGGAACTCCCCAGGCTCTCCACACCCACACTGGGCCTCAGCCAGGGGCCAGCCCTCAAATCACACAGCCCCCTCCCCTATGGCCAGATGGAGATCTCCCTGGGGCTTCTCTGGAGAAGCCTGGGACAAAAGAAAACAGGCTGCCATGCTGGCATGGTGGCTCACGCCTGTAATCCCAGCACTTTGGGAGGCCAAGGCAGGTGGATCACCTGAGGTCAGTGGTTCAAGACCAGCCTGGCCAACACGGTGAAACCATGTCTTTACTAAAAATACAAAATTAGCTAGGCATGGTGGTGTGCACCTGTAGTCCCAGCTACACCAGAGGCTGAGGCAGGAAACTCGCTTGAACCAGGGAGGCAGAGGTTGCAGTGAGCTAATATCATGCCATTGCACTCCAGCCTGGGTGACAGAGTAAGACTTCACTAAAAAAAATAAAATAAATTAAAAAAAGGTGGCTGGGCACTGTGGCTCACACCTGTAATCCTAGCACTTTGGGAGACTGAGGTGGGTGGATAACCTGAGGTCAGCAGTTCAAGACCAGCCTGGCCATCATGGTGAAACCCCATCTTTAAAAAAATAAAAAAGGCAGGGAGCTGTCTTCTTTTTTTCTTCTTGAGATGGAGTTTTGCTCTTGTTGCCCAGGCTAGAGTACAATGGGGCAATCTCGGCTCACTGCAACCCCCGCCTCCTGGGTTCAAGCGATTCTCCTGCCTTAGCCTCCGGAGTAGCTAAGATTATAGGCACACATCACCACATCCGGCTGATTTTTGTATTTTTAGTAGAGATGGGGTTTCACCATGTTGGCCAGGCTGGTCTTGAACTCCTGATTTCTGATGATCTAAGGGGGCTCTTTCTATAAGCAGAATTCACCAAGAGACTTTAGTCTTCCCACCCAAAAGGCCCATTGCTCTGCCCTCCCACACTTCAAATGGTAGCGCAGATCAAATCAGCAAATGCAGCCTGGGAGGGGTGGGGTCAGGAGCACACTCCAGTAGTCAAATGACAGGGAACCGGGCACCAGACAAGAGGCGAGAGACGTGTGATGTCGGGAGGAATAGACACAAGAGCCAACAAGGAAGCCGCTCGCAGTCATTCTCAGCATACATTTATTGAGTGCTTACTGTGTGCCAGGAAGTAAGCCAGGTGCTGTAAACAGCAGAGGAGCAGGGAAGAGGTGAGTCAGCTGCTGGGTTGACCCTGGTTCATTCCGGGCACGGATTAACCCTTCAGGCTTCCTTCTGAGAGCCTGGCTGGGGCTTTGGGCTGCTCCTGCCTAGCTGCCCTTTCCAGCAATGGAAGAGAACTCAGCAAGGCTAGACCCTTCCCCTTTCCCGCACTGGGGTAGAGGCACACGGACAAGCTCCTCCACATGCCTCCAAACACGTACACGCCCTGATGTACCCAGGACACATCTCAGATATACGCACACACATACAGTGGGAGGCACGACCACACAGCCGTGTGAGGATGTGGCACACAGGTGCTGCCTACATGGCAGTGCCTTGAGCTGTCCCACTTAGCACTGACCTGTCTACCAGTGATTGATTATCTCCAGCAGCTATTTGGCCAAGTTTTACCAAAATGTGAAAGTCACAAAAGAAAAGTGAACAAGAGAAGAATTTTGTAAGGCTTTGCTCAGAGAGGGCTTCTGAGAAGGGCAGGGGTCAGCAGATACAGACCTTACTATTTTTTTTTTGGAAATGGAATCTCTGTCACCCAGGCTGGAGTGCAGTGACATGATCTCAGCTCACTGTAACCTCCACTTTCCGGGTTTAAGCGATTCTCCTGCCTCAGCTTCCAGAGTAGCTGGGATTACAGGTGCCCACCACCATGCCCAGCTAATTTTTGTATTTTTAGAAGAGGGGGTTTCACCACATTGGTCAGGCTGGTCTTGAACTCCCAATCTCAAGTGATCCACTCACCTTGGCCTCCCAAAGCACTGGGATTACAGGCGTGAGCCACCACGCCAGAGTCCAGCATCCCACCATGCAGTTCTTCCATGTGTCCACGAAGCTGCGCCATGCAGGTATTATTTCCTCCATGTTTCAGATGATGGCGGTGAAGCTCAAGACTCGCCTGAGGCCACCAGGACAGTCCTCCAGCCTTTGGTCTCCCCTGAGAAGGGTCAGGGTCTGGGCGCTGCGGGTGGGCCTGGCTGAGTCTCAGTGCTGCCTGGGCGGGTGGGGACGGCTCACTAAAGCAGCATGGGCAGTGGCTTCGTGCTGGTGGGGAGAGGTCTGCGCAGGGGTGGGCCACCCATGGGGACCATGTGCCCCCTCCTCCAGTGGCCTTCAGGGAGCTCCATCCTCACCCACCGATTGGAGTCAGTAAGGCGTGGGGAAGCAGGCTCACAGAGCCATTTGCTCAGCCTGACCACTCCACCCCAGGGGAGGGCAGCGGTCTGGGGATAACCCACTCATGTTGGGGGTCCCAGGCTCCTAACTCTCAGAATCCCATGGTCTGTACTAGGGGAAGATGGACTGCCACCCTTGAGTTGGGCCCCTGGTCATTGGCAGATACGGGAGCAGCTGCCAAAGGAGCCCTCAAGGCCGACTCTGCTGAGGCTTCTTAGAACCCCCTTGCAGGAGCCCTCACCGTAGGGCACCCACAGTATGTCCCCGGCCCCTCCCAGCTGCGTATCTGCCCACATTCCCACGGGTGTCACACACTGGCATTGGAAACACAGAATCTTGTGCACATAAGCCCAACACTGGGTGTCCCAACATTTTCAGCGTCCCCAGGGCCTACGGCAAAGTGATGCACTCCTTGGAGTGCACCATGCGGGGCCCCGACGAGGAAGGTTTAAATGAAAGTTCGAACCAGGATGATGCTGGGTGCAAGAGGGGACGGGGGACGGAGCAGAACAGAAAGGGTCTGTGAGGGCCATGTCTTCAGGCCTGACGAGGGTGGAGGCCTGTGTCCACGCGGCGGAGGCTGCAGATGGAAGCCAAGAGGGTTTGGAGAAGGCCAACCACCAAGAAATGCCCAGACCCGAGTCTAGCAAGGAGGGGCTCGTGGCGGGGTTCCTGCAGCAGACCCATCCCCTTCCTCACTGATCAAACCACAGGCCAGGGAGCCCTTCCTGCTCCTTCCTGCCAGAGCCTGGAGGATGAAGAGATGGAGGGCCCGGCCACTCGGTGCCGGCTGCCCTGACCAGCTGTGGTCCCTTCCCTGGCACAGGCCACTTCTCCTGTGGGTTGGGGTCACCAGGGAATTGCTTCCCCAAGCACCCATCAGCCTCCGGATTCAACTCAGCCAAAATGATTCAACTCAGCAGATCTCACCCCACTCCTGAGAAAGCTCTTGGCTCTAAGAAACAGAGACCAGGCCTGGTGGCCCTGAGCTGCTGCTCTGAGTGGAATGTCCCAACCTAGAGAGCCGTGCTGCTCTAGCAACTTGAGACCCATATAAGTGTCCTGGCTCTGACCTTGAACAAGTGACTCCATTGCTCTAGGCCTCGTTTTTCAGTTGTAAAGCAGGGAAGATAGTATCTATTTAACTTCTAGATTGTTATCAAGGACAACACTAGGAAAACATGTCACCTGTCAGCTCCATACAAGGCAAAGTAGGACGGGTGGGCCTACCTAGTGGGGATTGGGGTGCAGGGAGACCCAAGCCGTCTGGCCACCCACAGTTTTTGTACCCCGCTCCTGCTTTCTGGCCTCAAATCCCCAAGCACTGGTGCCCTGCACTGCTGTCAGCCCTCGATTCTGGTTTCTCAACACCCTGCTTCCTCCCAGTAAGTACCACACCCTGAGGGTGGGTGGGAGAAAGAGGCAGCAGTGCCCACTCTGGCTGGCCCTGGGCACTGCTGGGACAGCACAGGCCACGCCTGCACCACTTCAAGACTAGCTTTTTTGCTGGGCACTGTGACTCATGCCTGTAATCTCAGCACTTTGGGAGGCTGAAGTGGGAGAATTGCTTGAGCCCAGGAGTTCCAGACCAGCCTGGGTAAAATCGGGAGAACTGGTCTTTATGGAAGAAAAAAAAAAAAGCCAGGTGTGGTGGTACATACCAATAGTCCCAGATACTTAGCAGGCCAAGGTGGGAGGGTCCCTTGAGCCCATGAGCTGGAGGCTGCGGTGAGCTGTGAACTGCACCACTCACTCCAGCCTGGGTGGCAAAGCAAGACCCCAGCTCACCAAAAAAAAAAAAAAAAAAAAGGCCTTTTCCCAGCTGGCAGTGGCCTTGCTAGTTAGGGCTTCCCAAATCTGCACTCCTGCTTGATGGTGGATCTCAAACGCTGGGAGGCAGCAGAGTCAGCAGCCTGCGGCAAGGCTACGTGTGATACCAGCTCCCAGGAGCCTCTGCTGCAGGTGGCCATGGGGTGCAGTGGTTCGAGCTGTACCTCAGCAGCACCACACGCCAACTCGGGGAGCCCCAGAGCTCATGAGATGGGAAAGGACTGCCAGTGCTGGCTGTAGGAAACAGGCTGGAGTTGAACTCATCCCTTCCCAAATTTCACTCTAAAACCTCCTTGAAAATGAGGATAACCACTAACATCACAAAACAAGCATTCTCAGGAGTAGACATGTTGACTAGCTCTCTCAATTTTTTTTTTTTTTTTTAAAGATGGGGTTTCACCATGTTGCCCAGGCTGGCCTTGAACTCCTGACCTCAGGTGATCCACCCACTACAGCCTCCCAAAGTGCTAGGATTACAGGCGTGAGCCACCGCACCTGGCCTCTCTCAATTAAAAAAAAAAAAATTTATTTATTTAGAGATGGAGTCCTGCTCTGTTGTGCAGGCTGGAGTGCAATGGTGTGGTCTTGGCTCACGGCAACCTCTGCTTTTCGGGTTCAAGCCTCAGCCTCTGGAGTAGCTGGGATTACCGGCTAATTTTATATTTTTAGTAGAGGCGGGGTTTCTCCGTGTTGATCAGGCTGGTCCCGAACTCTCAACCTCAGATGACCTGCCTGACTTGGCCTCCCAAAGTGCTGGGCTTACAGGCATAAGCCACAGTGACTGCCTTTTTATAATATTTGAGTGAACAAAAGCCTATGAGATGTGTTTCAGGCACACAAGCTGGTAATGTGGAGCTTGAATGTGGCCTGGTCTGCCCCTTCTTCTCCCTTCATCCTTCCCCCATCCTAAACTGCTCTGAGCCTGCAGCTGCCCTGGGCTACCCTTCAGCTTAAATGCACGGGGAGTCCTCAGGGTTGTGGAAGGGCGCAGGGAGGAAAAGAGGCCAGGGCTTGCCTGTTTGGCTGGACAATCAGCAGAGGAGGGCGGCCCACACTCTAAGATGCCTGTGCAAGCCCCGTTGGTGTGAGGGTGGGGAGTAAGCTCTTTGCCTGGCCCACAGCCCCTCCCAAGAAGGCAGATTCCCAGAGATGAAGAGCAAGCTGGGCATGGCTGGGGCTGGTCTGTGGCAGGAAAAGGTCTGTGCCTTTTCTTCTCCAGCTCAAAAGAGGCACATGCAGCTAGACTGATATCCTAGGAGGGGCATCCCTTACCAGGAGGAGAACGGATTTATTGCTTTATAAAAAGAAGTCTGATAAAACTGTTGAGAAAAAAAATAACTAAAAACCCAAACATCAGCTCACCCCACTAAGCACACCCAGGAGGTCTCAAGAGACTTTTCTGGGGGCAGTCAAGGTGGGTGGGTTGATGGGCCAGGCATCCCTGCCACCCCTGTCGTCAGCTCCAGGGCCCCATGGATCCCGCCAGCAGGGGGTGCTGTGGGCCTGCGGCCTCGGACGAGCTCCTGGCCCCACACCAGAGTGGCTCCTGGGCACTGGCTGGGCTGCAGGCCTGGTGGCTCCTGCCTGTACACCCCAACCCCACACACTGATCCACGGCCCCACCCCGGCCTGGATCTCTGTCTGCTGGCCACAGCCTTATATCCACCCCCACAAAAGCAGCTGTGTGTATGAAGGCAGTGCCCTGGCTTCTGGCGGTGCTCCTGAAATTCCCTTCAGGTGGCAGACAGCACGAGGGTGGCCATGGAAACGTGTCCCCATGTAGGCCCTGGGGGAGGAGGCAAGGGCTATGGCCACCATGTCCACCCAGCCTGCTCTCCCCTCCCCAGGCTGTAAGCCAGGGGCTTCTGTGCCAGCCAGACCTGGCCAGGCCACAGGGTCTGGAATGACAAAGGAGTTAGCACCAACAACAGGAAGCAGGCCTTCCTTCCTCAGGCAGCCTAGACAAGTCAGGGAGGGAGAGGGGCCAGGTGAGGCGAGACAGTGCGAGCCTTTGTCCTCAGGCAGGTGTGGCCATGGATGCGCAGCCGGGGGCAGGTGGTGGGCAGCCCCCTCTGCTTTGGCAAGAGGCAGAATCCAGACACTGGCGGGAGAGCGCCTGCCGGGAGGGGTTCCTGGCTCCTCCCACAGGCACCACGGAGACCCCAGTCGGTCCCTCACAGGTGGCAGAGCAAAGCCAGGGCAGCCCCTGCGTTCAGCAGGAGGAAACGGACACGTCCCGGGCCCTCTCCCGTCCTTCCACCGCTGCGCTCCAAGGCAGGACTGGCCCCGGGAGGGAGCGTGGACTCCAACACGCGGATGGCAAGGGTCCTGGGGTGCGTGGTGTCGTCTGGGGTGGGCAGGGCAGGGTCAGCCGCGGACGCACAGTCAGGGCTGCAGTCCCGAGGTGGTGGCCGCTACACAAAGGCCTCCTGGTTGGATGAGCCGTTGATTTTGAGGAAGAGCTTGTCGTCCTCCCGCCTCTGCCGCAGCTGCCACTCCAGCTGGCGCCGGTAGCAGATCAGGTAAAGCGGCAGGCAGAAGCCCAGCAGGCTGAGCGCCAGCAGCCCCACGTTCACCTGTGGAGGCAGGGGGACTCCGCGTCACCATCACCGGGCTGCAGGCCCACCCTCCACCAGGTTTGGGAAAGGAGACAGGGTCACAGGAGTGGAGGGGGAACCAAACAGGAAGGCCGTCACTCCGAATTCCAGTGTCCCAATTTCTGACTCTTCACAGGCCATGCAGCACCCCCAGGGCTGCACCTCCCCTCTCCCCTCCCTGCCATGAACACCCTGGTCTGAATCTCCAGGGCGGCCTGGGACAAGCTCCTGGTTTCACTCTGTTGCTCAGGCTGGAGTGCAGTGGCCTGACCTCGGCTCACTGCAACCTCCGCCTCCCGGGTTCAAGTGATTCCCCTGCCTCAGACTCCCGAGTAGCTGGGACTACAGGCATGCACCACCACACCTGGCTCATTTTTGTATTTTCAGTAGTGGCAGGGTTTCATCACAAGGCTGGTCTTGAACTCCTGACCTCAAGTGATCCTCCCACCTTGGCCTCCCAAGTGCTGGATTACAAGTGTGAGGCACTACACCCAGCCCAGGAACTCTGTTCTGTTAACCCCCAAATCAGGTCCAGAGAGGACACGTTCCTCCTCCTGCCTGGCCTCCATGCACAAAGGGACCCTGAACTGATCTGAACCAACATTCCCAAATCACCCATCCTTGGGGCCCTGAAGCCCCCTGAGTAGCGTCTTGCAGCTCCCAGTTAGCAGAGGGGAGCAGGCACCCATGACCCACCGCCCCCAGACCCCTCTTACCCACAGAGGGTCTCCCTGGAGGGGACCCATCATGGCCAGAAACAGCGGCTGCTGCAGGAGGGCAAAGAGCGCACTGACCAGGGACTGCAGGCCCGTGAGGCTGCCGAACTGGGTGGAGGGGTACCTGCCAGGCAAGCCATAGCTGTCATAACCAGCCTCCTCCTTCCTGGGCTCTGCTCAGCCCCCGATGCCTGGCGACCCCAGGCTGCACCACTGGTGCCAGACAAGGGGAGGTGCTGGCCCTTGGATTTCTGCCAATGGGCAGTTTTTTTTTGGACAGAGTCTGGCACTATCGCCTGGGCTGGAGCGCAGTGGCACGATCTTGGTTTACTGCAACCTCTGCTTCCTGGGTTCAAGGGATTCTCCTTCCTCAGCTTCCTGAGTATCTGGGATTATAGGCATGCGCCACCACGCCTGGCTAATTTTTTTGTATTTTTAGTAGAGACAGGGTTTCACCATGTTGCCAGGCTGGTCTCGTACTCCTGACGTCGTGATCCACCTGCCTCAGCCTACCAGAGTGCTGGGTTATAGGTGTGAGCCACCGAGCCTGGCCCTGCTGGGCAGTTCTGCAAAGTGTTTCTCTTTGGGACCAGCCCCAGCCCCAGATTCCAGGGAGGGCCAGCCCCACTCAGCTCTGCCCAGGGCTGCGGGTGTCTGGCTGAGCCGAGTACAAAGTGTGGTGCCAGGAGGAGTCTGCGGTTTGGGAAGCAGCCCCAGAGACGAGCATGGAGGCTGGGCTGGGCTCAGCGGTACCTTTGCCCAGAGGAGCGTTGAGTAATCATGGAAACTCAGCCCCATAGACCCTGCCTCCCATCCTCAGACCCGGCCAGGTGAGCCACAGCTTCCTCCAGGCCTGGGGCGGGGCAGGTGGAGGTCGAGCAGAGCCGGAAGGACCCCACGGGATGTTGCAGAAATGGGGAGAATCCTGGGTGAAATCTTAGCACACAGCAGGCTCTGCTGGCCCAGAGGTGGGAAAGGAATCCTGGCAAGGGATGAGCTGGTCCCACGTCAGAGCCCATGGATGGTGGCGTTTGAGTTTCAGTGTTTGCACCAAGCCCTGAGCCAGAAAATGAGGAACAACTGTGGTTCCTTATGTTTCTGCGGCCTCTTGGAAAAACACACAGGTTTCATTTCAGCAGGGCTGGACAAAGCTACGGCCAGGCTGGGTGCATGGAGGCTCTGGATGGGGCCGCCTGGGACATTCTGGGCTGAGTCACCCATGTTGCTTACTCGGTGAGGGTCATTTGAACTCAGGGTTGAGCTTCAAGCAGCCAGAATCTACCCATGTCCTCCCTGTGACCAGTCAGGGCCAGCTCAGGACTCGGCTGAGCAGTGGCCCCTGAGGCTGTAACGAGCTGCACAGGTGCCCAACCTGGCTGGGGGAACTGATTTCGTGCTGAATGGCAAGGCTGGTGGGCACCCAACTGTCTGTCCACTGACCTGCCTCCCACTAGGTATGGCCTCCCCCGACACACCTAGCAGAAACCCTGGCACCTGCCCCTGATGCAGGAAGATGAGCCCTGCCGGAACAGGCTCACCCAGCCTCCGAGTCTCAGTCCACAAGCAACCTACCTGCGCTATTCCCACACCCTCGCCCACCAGGTACCTGCAGCTTCTAGGACTTACACAGCGGCATACAGGCCCCCAACAGCGGAGTGGATGAATCCTCGCACGATCGTGTGCAGGATGAAGGAGAGGATCTGAGGGAGGGAAGGCACACTGTGAGCAGAAGGCTTTAAGAGCCCTCACCTCGCCCTGCTCTCCAATTCCTGGGGGCCCTCGCCCAGGAGCAGTGTCAGCCTGGAGTGGGATCAACCCTGTCCTCCAGAGCCAATCGTGAATTTCTGGAAATTTTGCAAGCCAGTCATTAACACGGTCATTACAAATTAAATTATAGTCTGGATGCAGTGGCTCACATCTGTAATCCCAGCACTTTGGGAGAGCAAGGTGGGTAAATGATCTGAGGTCAGGAGTTTGAGACCAGCCTGGCCAACACGGTGAAACCCTGTTTCTACTAAAAATACAAAAATTAGCCAGGCTTGGTGACAGATGCCTGTAATCCTAGCTACTTGGGAGGCTGAGGCATGAGAATCGCTGGAACCCAGGAGGCAGAGGTTGCAGTGAGCTGAGATCAGGCCACTGTACTCTAGCCTGGGTGACAGAGTGAAATTCATTCTCAAAAAATAAATAAATAAGGCCGGGTGCAGTGGCTCACTTTGGGAGACCAAGGTGGGTGGATCACGAGGTCAAGAGATCGAGACCATCCTGATCAACATGGTAAAACCCCGTCTCTACTAAAAATACAGTAATTAGCTGGGCATGGTGGCGCACGCCTGTAGTCCCAGCTACTCAGGAGGCTGAGGCAGGAGAATGCTTGAACCTGGGAGGCGGAAGTTGCGGTGAGCCAAGATCACGCCACTGCACTCCAGCCTGGGCGACAAGAGCAAAACTCCGTCTCTAAATGAATAAATAAAATAAAATTACAGGCTGGGTGGCTCACGCCTCTAATTCCAGCACTTTGGGAGGCTGAGGTAGGTGGATTACTTGAGGTCAGCAGTTCGAGATCAGCATGGCCAACATGGCAAAACCCCACCTCTACTAAAAATAGAAAAATTAGCTGGGCATGGTGGCAGACTCCTATAATCCCAGCTACTTGGGAGGCTGAGGCAGGAGAATCGCTTGAACCTGGGAGGTGGAAGTTGCAGTGAGCCGAGATCACGCCACTACACTCTAGCCTGGGCAACAGAGCTAGACTCCATGTAAAAAAAAATTAATTAATTAAATTATATACATTTGTGACTAAATAAATAAATTATATTAAAATAAAGGTAATGAATACTCAAAACTCATCACTTGCTGGCCTGGTGCAGTGGCTCACGCCTGTAATCCCAGCACTTTAGGAGGATGGGGAGGATCGCCTGAACCCAGAAGTTCCAGACCAGCCTGGGCAATGTGGCAAGACGCCATCTCTGCAAAAAAATGTAAAAATGAGCTGGGCTTGGTGGCACATTCCCAGCTACTCAGGAGGCTGAGGTGGGAGGATCACCTGAGCTCAGGAAGTCAAGGCTGTAGTGAGCCAAGGTCCCACCACTGCATAGGAGCCAGGCTGATGAGAGTAAGACCGTCTCAAAAAAAAAAAAAAACCCATACACACACAGAAAACCTCATCCCTTCCTAATCACTGTACTTGGGTCACCAGTCTCAGTGTTTCAGGCTTTTCCATCTGCCATAGATGTATGGTAGAAACACCATGTGACTGTGAAGCTCATTCCAATTCCACATCAGTGACATCACATGGGTGGTTTGAAATCAGCCATGCTGAGACCAGGTACACCACAGAAATCTGTAAACACTAACCCGGGGCCCCGCCGCTGTTAGATGTGTGGGCACAGCGCTGAGTGGGAAGAGGTGACTGAGCACGCCTCAGGCTGCCTTTGCCCACCGTGGACTGTGCGCCCAGGTCTCCACACCGGCTCCCCCGGCCCTCCCAGTGGGTGGCTGCCCTCTCATCTCCCTACTCAAGTGTTTCTTCCTTGTGTGTGTGGTTTATTTTGTTGTTTTGAAACAGAGTCTCCCTCTATCCCCGAGGCTGGAGTGCAGTGGCGTGATCTCAGCTCACTGCTACCTCTGCCTCCGGGGTTCAAGCGATTCTCCTGCCTCAGCCTCAAGAGTAGCTGGGATTACAGGTATGTGCCACCATGCCTGGCTAATTTTTTTTTAGACAAGGTCTCACTCCGGTTGCCCAGGTTGGAGCGTCCTGGTGTGATCTCAGTTCATTGCAGCCTCAACTTTCCAAGGTGCAGTGAGCTGAGATTCCCCCACCTCAGCCTCCTGAGTAGCTGGGACTACAGGTGTGTGTCCCAACACCTGGCTCGTTTTTATTTTTAGAAGCAGGGCGTTGCCATGTGGCCCAAGCTGGTCCCTCCTGAGGTCCTATGCTGTCTGTGGGAGGGCCCCTGCCTAGGGAGGCTGCTGCTGGCAGGCCTCGAAAGCTCCAAGAGGCGCCTTTTAACGCTTCCTGGCAGGCCCAAGAGCTGTCCTCTTGGCCACCAGGTCCCTGTGGTTGCCTTTTTTTGTGTTTTGTACACAGCCCTGCCATCCCGCTCAGCAGCCAGGACCTGTTCCCAGGAATGCGGAGGGGGGCGGGGAAGGGGAGGGAGAGGGGGAGGGGGAGGGGCTGCTCTTTGCCGTGTTGAGGGCTGTACCCAGTGTGCACATGCACACACACAGGCATGCACACACATGCATGCATGCATACACACAGGCACATGCACATACACATGCATGCATACACAGGCACACGCACATGCACACACACGCACAGGCACACATGTGCACACGCACACATGCACACAAACGCAGAGGCACATGCACACAGAGGCACACACACACATGCACGCACACACACGCACACGCACAGGCACACACACCTGCCTCAAATGCCTTGTTGCCTTTTTACAGCTTTTCTTTCAGTGAGAGCAAAAAGGAGATGACTGTCTCCGCTGAGCACTGCCCCTTGACTGGACAAGGTGGTCAGGGCAAAGGTCTGCCGGTCTTGCAGAAAAAGCCACCTGGGAGGCCAGGGAGGGCAGGAGGGCTGCAGCACCCCACCCCTCGGGGCAGCACAAACATTCATGGGGTCACTGCAGTCTGCACACCCCAGTGTCGGCATGCACAGAAACTTCCCGTGGGTGGGGCACACCTGGGTACTGAGCGCCCCTCAATAGCTGGCCACCTGTAAGAAGGAAGGGACTGCTACTTTCCTCCTGGACTTGACCTGAGATACCATCTGGATACAACTATCTGGAAGCAAGAGTGTCACTCGTGTCCTTCCACCATCTGTAAATTTAAGGACTGGACCACATCTCCTGCTAGCCCACTTCACAGAACTGCAGGGGGGACCAGGCGAGTGACAAAGTCCATCTTACCCAAAATCTCTGCCAAACATTGCAGAAGCCTCAGAAGTTTGGCAAACAAATTAAGCTTTTTTTTTTTTTTTTGAGATAGAGTCTCACTCTGTGGCCCAGGCTGGAGTGCAGTGATGCCATCTCGTCGGCTCACTGCAACCTCCGCCTCCTGGGTTCAAGTGATTCTCCTGCCTCATCCTCCCAAGCAGCTGGGACTTCAGGCGCCCACCAACATGCTTGGCTAATTTTTGTATTTTTTGTAGAGAAATGATCCACCTCAAGCAATCCACCTGCCTCTGCCTCCCAAAGTGTTGGGCTTACAGGTGTGAGCCACCGCGCCCAGCCTTGAATAAAGCCTTTGATTCCAGATCTGAGGGCACCATCAGGTCTTTCTCCAATCTGTTCAGTGTCAAAACCCTGTGAGACTCTGGTAATGGGAGCAGAGGTTCCTACCAACACCACAGATCAGCCAGACCTCTCTGGACATCAGCTTCCAGCTGTCTGAGCCAATACAAAACAACCCCACAGCAACCCCACGCACTTCCGGGAAATGGGATGATGGTGGCATCAATGGTGCTGCACGACGCCCCCAAAACCAAGACTGATGTGGCTTCCTGCAGAGGAGTGCCCGTGTAGAGACAAACCAGCAGCGAGCAGAGCCTGGCAGGTGACACCCTCTGCGGACAGCCAAGGGCTGGTGGGCTGCTTAGTTGAATCAAAGTCACCATCTGTTTTTTGATGATGTCCATAAAACATTACACACTTTTTTTGAGACATTGTTTCACTCTTCTTGCCCAGGCTGGAGTGCTGTGGTGCAATCTCGGCTCACCACAACCTCCGCCTCCTGGGTTCAAGTGATTCTCCTGCCTCAGCCTCCCGAGTAGCTGGGATTATAGGCACACACCACCACACCTGGCTAATTTTGTATTTTTAGTAGATTCGGGCCTTCTCCATGTTTGGCCAGGCTGGTCTTGAACTCTCGACCTCAGGTGATCTGCCTGCCTCGGCCTCCCAAAGTGCTGGGATGACAGGTGTGAACCCCTGCACCCGGCCCACACATTTGAGCCTTCACATGTTCCTTCTTATTGCCCGGAACCCCCCATGGCCTCTCCTGCCCCCCACACCCACCTGTAGAGGCAGGTTGGGAATGAGGCAGGTCACCCCGAAGCCCACAAGCAGCACGTTGGTGAAGGCGAAGGCCCGCATGGCGTTGGTGACCTTCTGGATCTGCCGGTCCCGCGTTGTCTTCTTCTCGCTTCTGCAGAGACACAGAACATGCAAGGGTGGGAGGGCTCCCGGGAGGAAGCTGGTGCTCCTGAGGAGTCAGGCCCCAAGAGTCACAGCACGTGAACTGATGCAAGATTCAGAAGCCACCCAGGCAGGTTTTAGGGACTGTGTCAGGGCTAGACCAGCACTGCGGGCACTCCCTGGTCCCTCTCAATGGAGAGGGGTCTCGGGTATGAGAAGATGGCCATTGATATGCTGCAGCGCTGCTGTGATGGCCGAGCTAAGATGACGAGGAGGGAAGGAGCAGACTGTGCCTGGGCTAGCACATGGCAAAGCCTCACTTCACCACTGGCTTCAGGTTCACCCAAATCTTCCAGGATGCTGATAATAAGCCAGATATAAGCCAAATAAGGGAGTGAATGGGTTTCTCCTTGGCAGGGGGGCAGGAGAGGGTAAAGGGGAAACAGGCAGGCAGCAGAACTGGAGTGGAACCGGAGTGGGCAGAAATAACCTCCTGGCCGCAGGAGCTAACCTAGCTAGCAGAGCTCTCTCTGTAATTATCTCCTGGTGAATTAACTATTAGCGATCCCAGACTTGCACCCACGCAGACACTCGGGTGATCACACAGCATGCAGGAGCAGACCCCAGGTACTCAGAGATTTACAGGGAGTCCCAGGCCCCCCACCTCCTGTGTGGCCCCAGGAAGACCACTCAACCTCCCAGCCTCAATTCCCTTGTCTTTAAAATGGGTCTAGCAATTCCCCGTGGTGCTGGGAGGCTTCACTGAGATTCTGTGCATTAATTGCTCGGCAGAGAGCCTCATGCAATAAACCGTACCTTATTATATGAAGGTGGAGTTCTAGAACAGCGTTTAACTCATCCTCTGATCTTAGAACCCGTCCCTTACGTACAGTGGGACTCCTGGGCCTTGTTTCAGCTTCACAATCATGAAACTCTATTAACACATACTATGCTTATAGCAATGTACTACTCAAACTGAGTGGATAAACCCTGCAGACAAGTGGGGCGCCTTTAAGGTGGCGTACATACCACTGCCAAGCGGTGGGGGGGGGTGTTCTCAGGAGCAGGATGCTTTGCTCTCCATTCTCTACACACTTTCACCTGCTATCTCTTTCTTTCATCTTGCTCAATGCTGCTTTTTTTTTTTCTTGAGACAGAGTCTTGCTCTGTTACCCAGGCTGGAGTGCACCGGTGCAATCTCGGCTCACTGCAACCTCTGCCTCCTGGGTTCAAGTGACTCTCCTGCCTCAGCCTCCTGAGTAGCTGGGATTACAGGCGCCCACCACCACGCCCGGCTAATTTTTGTATTTTTAGTAGAGGACAGGGTTTCACCTTGTTCAGGCTGGTCTCGAACACATGACCTTGTGATCTGCCTGCCTGGGCCTCCCAAAATGCTGGGATTACAGGTGTGACCCACCATGCCTGGCTTAAACTTTTTTTTAAGAGACATGGTCTTGCTGTGTCACCCAAACTGGAGTGCAGCACCACGATCACAGCTCACTGCAGCCTCATGAGCAGCCCTGTTGCTTCAGCCACCTAAGTAGCTGCCACCATGCTTGGCTGATTTTTAAATTTTTTTGAAACACGGTCTTGCTCTGTCGCCCAGGCTGGAGTGCAACAATGGGATCACAGCTCACTGCAGCCTCAACCTCCCCAGGCTCAGGCGATCCTCTCACCTCAGCATCCTGAGTAGCTGGGATTACAGGTATGAACCACCATATCTGGTTCACTTTGTATTTTTTTGGTGGAGATAGGGTTTTACCATGTTGCCCAGGCTGGTCACTAACTCCTGGGCTCAAGCAGTTCACCCAACTCGAACTTCCAAAGTGCTGGTATTATAGGCATGAACCACCAGGCCTGGCCAATTTTTAAATTTTTGTAAAGTTGGGGGGCTGGCCATGTTTGCGAGGCTAGTCTCGAACTCCTGGCCTCAAGTGATCTTCCTGCCTTGCCTTTGAAAGTGCTGGGATTATAGGCATGAATCAGCAGACTCAGCCTCAAACTTCAGCATACCAAGGAATTTACATAAAGAGGGATGCTGAGCTGAGTGAGTGAGTGAGTGGAAGGACCCAGAGAGGAGCTAGAGTGCACCCCTCTCTCCCTCCCACCTGCCTGACACGAAGCTCTGGGGTCTTTGTGCAGGGCTGAGGGCTGGGGGCCTACGCACTGGGTGGGGTCTTTGTCCTCGGGCTCCTCAGAGGAGTCTTCACATTCCTTCAGCCTCCAGTCCATAATGTAGCCGATGACGGGCGCTGTGAGCAGGCACAGCAGCTGGAGCACACCGAAGATGGAGGTGTAGAGGCCAACTGTGGGGGAAAGGGCTGCGTCACGGGGGGACTGGGCACCAGCTGGGAAGGGGCTGGTGCCAACAGGCTCTTTGGGGATCTGCCCCAGAACCCCATCACTGTGGGTCTTGCAGGGAGCCCAGAGGTCTTAACTCTGAAGTCGAGGCTGGAATGGGGCAGGGAACCACCTTCTCAGCTCCAAATCCCCTGCTTCTTTTTTTTCTTTTTTCTTGAGATGGGATCTCGCTCTTATTGCCTAGGCTGGAGTGCAGTGGTGCGATCTCGGCTCACTGCAACCTCTGACTCCCTGGTTCAAGTGATTCTCTGCCTCAGCCTCCCGAGTAGCTGGGATTACAGGCATTCACCACCATGCCTGATTTTTTTTTTTTTTTTGTATTTTTAGTAGAGACAGGGTTTCACCATTGGCCAGGATAGTCTCGATCTCCTGACCTTGTGATCCACCTGCCTCAGTCTCCCAAAGGGCTGAGATGACAGGAATGAACCACCGAGCTCAGCCTCCCCTGCCTGTTTCTAAGAAACAGCGAAGAAAAAAAATAAAAGAAAAAAGAAACAGCGAAGGAAACTCCAGGAAACCACCGGTACGTGGGAACTCCACAGCTGCCAATGCCCATGACAGAGGTGTTCTAAGCCACTGGCCACTAGTTTCTCCCTCTAGAAACATCCCAGGAAGGCACCACTCATGGGGCTCTAGCAGGAGGGCTTCCCTGTTCAAAGACTTATAACTATGGGGGGCTTACCAGGGAAACAGATGCTGAGTGTTGACTGCCCCCTCTACCCCCACGGCTCTAGCCAGAAGGGATGTCTGGAGCTTGAGGAGAGGAGCTTCTGGGTTGAACAGACTGACTGGGTGGGGATGTCATAAGGTTCCCTGACATCCCCCTCCCCCACTTACCCGTGGCCATCACTGCATCAGGATAGCACACGTGAAAAAGCAGAAAGAAGCAAGGTTAGTGGCAGAAACCTGAGCGCTGCAGAGATGGGGGGAGGGGCGGGCTCCTTCGGGCCCAGCACACACTCCCATTTCCCACCAAGCATGACTTGGGGTCCTGAAGGGGGGGCAGCGAGCTTCAGCCAGGCCTCTGGAAGTGGACTCAGGACAGCGCCCAGCCCGGGCCCTGCAGACATCCTGTCTGCTGGTGCCGGGTCACAGGCATGGTGAGTCAGGCCCATGATGCTAGTGGGTAGCGTGGTGGGAAGTGGTGGGTGAGCGCAAGGCCTGGTGCAATCCGAGTCCCTGCTGCTGCGGCCTATGGGAGTGGCTGTGTCATAGCTCCCGCCTGCCCTACTGGCTCAGAGACAGGGAAAGGATACAGAACCTGCCCCAGACGCGCCGCCAAGGCATCTGACACCACGGGTCTCCTCCAGATGGCCAGAGTTGGCCTCCCTTCCACTCTGTTAGGAAATGGAGATTGTGCCTGGGCCTGCTCCCCTGCTTTGGGCCGTGGCCCCAGCTACCAAGGCCTGGTGGCCCTGAGCTGCTGCTCCAAGCGGAATGTGCCAGTCTAGAGGGCCGTGCAGCTCCAGTGACCTGAGACCCATATGTGAGTCCTGGCTCTGACCTTGAACAGGTGACTCCATCGCTTGAGGCCTCATTTTTCAGTTGTATCTGATGAACGTATCTATCTTAAATGATGATGTAATAGATGATAGTATCTATTTAACTCCTAGATTGTTATCGAATCAAGGACAATAGAAGAACATGTCACCTGTCAACTCTGTACAAAGGCAGGGTAGGACAAGTGGCCCTGACTATCGGGGGCAGGGGGACCCAACCCATCTGGCTACGCATGGCTTCTGCACCCTGTTCTCATGTTGAGGCCTCAAATCCCCAAGCACTGGTGGCCCTGGACTGCTGTCGGCCCTGGACTGCTGTCGACCCTGGACTCTGGTTTCTCAACACCCTGCTTCTTCCTAGCAAGTGCCACACCCTGAGGGTTGGTGGGAGGATGAAGCAGCAGTGCCCACTTTGGCTGGGCATGGGCACTGCTGGGAACACCTCAAGGCTGCATTTTTGCCCAGGCATGGTGTGTTCACACCTATAATCCCAGCACTTCCAGGGGCCAAGGATCACCTGAGCTCAGGAGTTCAAGACCAGCCTGACCAACATGGTGACACCCTGTCTCTACTAAAAATACAAAAATCAGCCAGGTGTGGTGGCACATGCCTGTAATCCCAGCTACTTGGGAGGCTGAGGCAGGAAAATCACGTGAACCTGGGAGGTGGAGGTTGCAGTGAGCCGAGATCTCGCCATTGTACTCCAGCCTGGGGAACAAGGGTACAAATCTGTCTCAAAAAAAAAAAATAGACTGAGTTTTTGGGTGGGCACTGTGGCTCATGCCTGTAATCTCAGCACTCTGAGAGGCTGAGGTGGGAGAACTGCCTGAGCCCAGGAGTTCCAGACCAGCCTGGGTAAAGTTGAGAGAATTGGTCTTTATGAAAAAAAAAATTAGCCAGATGTGGTGGCATACACCCGTAGTCCCAGATACTTAGCAGGCCGAGGTGGGAGGGTCCCTTGAGTCCATGAGCTGGAGGCTGTGGTAAGCTGTGAACTGTACCACTCACTCCAGCCTGGGTGGCAGAGCAAGACCCCAGCTCACACACACACACAAAAAGACAGCCTTTTCCCAGCCGGCAGCAGACTTGCTAGTTAGGGCTTCCCGAATCTGCACTCCTGCTTGATGGCGGGTCTCAAATGCTGGGAGACAACTGGGTCAGCAGCCGGCGGCAAGGCCCAGAGTCTACATGTGGTACCAGCTCCCGGGAGCCTCTGCTACAGGTGGCCATGGGGCACAGTGGGGGCAGGTGGCTCTGCTGGTTCCAGTTGCTCCTCCGCAGCACCGCACGCCTGCTCTCAGGGAGCCCCAGAGCTCATGAGCGTGGGGAAAGGGACCCAGACCCAGCAGCCACCTCTCTGGACAGAGCTAGAGCTGTAGTGTTGGGTGCAACGGGTCGTGGGAGGAGGATGGGGAAATCCAATGGCCTGTCTGCCATGGACCAATCTTCTGGCCTGGCTTCCTCTAACTTCCTGAAATTGACTTTCCAACATAGGAAACAGTTGGAAAAATTCCTCTTGGGCAGCAAAAGATGTCTCAAGAGCTTGCGTAAAATACCCTGACTCAGCGGCAGGGAGATGTGCCTCTCAGGGCCAGGAGCTGGCTCTCTGCACACTTTGTGGTTTCCACCGCTCTGGGCCTAAGTATTTATCAGGTCAGCCATGGCAGTTTACGTCTGTAATCCCAGCACTTTGAGAAGCCAAGGCGGAACAATCCCTTGAGCCCAGGAGTTTTGAGACCAGCCTGGGCAACACAGCAAGACCCATCTCTACAAAAAATTAAAAAATTAGCTGGGTGTGGTAGCATGCCTCTGGGAAGCGCTGAGAGGTCAAGGCAGCAGTGTCTGTATCACCACAGTCCAGCTTAGGCAGCGCAGAAACGCAGAAAGAGACCCTCTCTCAAAAAAAAAAACAAGGAAAAAGGCCGGGTGCAGTGGCTCATGCCTATAATCCCAGCACTTTGGGAGGCCGAGGAGAGTGGATCATGAGGTCAAGAGATCGAGACCATGTTGGTCAACATGGTGAAACTCTGTCTCTGCTAAAAACACAAAAATTGGCTGGGCATGGTGGCGCGTGCCTGTAGTCCCAGTTACTCAGGAGGCTGAGGCAGGAGAATTGCTTGAACCCAGGAGGCAGAGGTTACGGTGAACCGAGATCATGCCATTGCACTCCAGCCTGGGTAACAAGAGTGAAACTCCGTCTCAAAAAAACAAACAAACAAAGAAAAAAACAAAAAAACACATGATAGATTGTCTTTCCCCAAATTGTGTTCCACAGATTTTTTTTTTTTTTTTGGAGATAGAGTCTTGCTCTGTCGCCCAGGCTGGAGTGCAGTGGTGTGATCTTGGCTTGCTGCAACCTCCACCTGCTGGGTTTAAGCAATTCTCTGCCTCCGTCTCCTGAGTAGCTGGGATTACAGGCGCCCGCCACCATGGCTGGCTAATTTTTGTATTTCTAGTAGAGATGAGGTTTCACCATGTAGGTTAGGCTGGTCTTGAACTCCTGACCTCAAGTAATCAGCCCCCCTCAGCCTCCCTAAGCGCTGGGGTTACAGGTGTGAGCCAGTGCGCCCCACCTAGACGCCCATTTTCACAGTAGAACTGGCATGTGTGATCTGATTCCGTCTCCTATCTCACTTTTATTAAAGTTGGATTTCTCACCCCCTAAAAAACTGATTACCGATTCTTCACAAGGCCTAGGGTATCTTCACCTTGATAAAAAGAAATAAACCATCAAAAAACAGTTGCACCCCATGGAGGCTGCCAATAAAAAGGGTTTTGAGTGTGTGTCCCACCTGGGGATGACTAGGGCTGACTCAGCTCAGGCCCTGGGAAGTCCTGACTTTCTTTGCAGAATCAAAACCTCTTATCAGCTGCAGTCCTGTGCTGTTTTGGAAAAGTGGAGTGTGGGTTATCAGCCATGTCTGCCGGGGCCAGCAAGCCTCGACTGGATCCCAGGCTCGGAGAAAGCCTGTGCACCACCCTGTTTCTCAGTGAGGGATGAAGATCAGTGTCAGCCAGTTGCCCTGGCGTCTCCAGCCACACCCTGACCTCCATGCGCAGGGTGTCCATGCACCTGCCGTGCTGCTTTCTGGGAGGACTGAGGGCGTGATCTGCTGTCTTTCAGCTGCACTGGGGTGCAGGGCTCTGTTTTGTGCCACGTTTTCCTTTACAGCACACACGGCAGCCTCCCCCCTCAGACATGAAAAACACCCCACATCCCATGCACAGGCAGCCGTTTTGGTCCTTCCCTCCCTCCTGGACCCGGAAACCCTGATGGGGACATGAAAGAATGGTTGGGGCTGGTGGTGATGAAAGAACTCTGCCAGGCAAGCAGCGCCCAAGAGGCAGCAGTCCGCGGCCCTGCCAGCCTAGCTCAGCTTCACATGTCCCGCGGCCAGTGGCTGGGCTGCCTACCTGTCTTCTGGTCGCCACTGACCAGGAACTTGAGGATGTTGTTCATGGCTCCCATGTAGAAGATGAGCCGAAGCTGGGTGACGCACATGGTGACGAGGCTGAGCATCAGGATGGGGCTGAACACGCTTTGCATGAAGGACGGGGCTGCTGCGGGAGAGGCCATGGGTTCAGGGCCGGGCACACTGCCCCCACCACGCGGGGCTGTGCAAATCCCTCCACATGGGAGGCCAGGAGGCCCCCTGGGGTGGGCCTGGTGAGGGCTTAGCACTGCTGTGGGGTCGCCCCCTGTGTGAAATCAGTTGGGCAAATCCCTTTCCCTTCCCAGGCCTCTGCAGAACGGGGCAGGTGGGGCTGCCTCCCATTTTGGGATGAAGTGGGAATGGGGTGAGCTGATACCCACAGAGCCCCCTCCCCGTCACCCAGCTGCCATCTCAGGCAGGTACCTGCAGCGTCTGGCTGGCACTTCACTTCCAGGTCGACGGTGGACAGGCACAGCTTGTGGCCCTCCTGCAGCGCCACCTGCTCCTTGGCACTCCTCATGGAGCTGCCCACGCTTAGGCGGCGGCCCACTGTGGTCACCTGCTTGTAGAACTGCTTCCCCGTGATCTTGTGGTCAAAGCCCAGCCAGCTGAACTTGATCTTCACCCTGGGGCCCAGGAGAGTGTCTGTGGGTGCCAGTTGGGACCTCGGCTGGAAGAGTGTGTCTGTGGTGCTGCCCAGAACCCAAGCTTGGGGGAAATAGGGCCAGGGCCCTGGGAGAGAGTCTGTGGGCCCTGGGAGAGGGTCTGTGGGCGCTGCGCAGGACTCCGGCTTGGGGTGGGGTGTGGGCAGGGCAGAGGGCCTGGGAGAGTGTCTATAGGCACTGTGAGTGACCCCGGCTGTCGGGGGAGGGCAGGACAGAGGGCCAGGGAGAGTGTCTGTAGGCTGCTCGGAACCCTGACAAGGGTGGGATGGGGCCCAGGGCACCTTTACTTACGAGTAGTCCATGTCCTCCGGCCCAGGAAAGGGCTCCAGGGGCCAGTTAAAGAAGCAGTTGAGGAAAACCAGCCCGGAGCAGCCGGCCCAGACCACAAGAATGACGACAAAGGAGACGCCAGCATCATAGATGAGCTGACAAGCACCGTGGGGTGGGGTGGGGGAGGGACAGAGTTAGCCGAGGGAGACCAGGGCCGGTAGGCAGGGGCATCCGGCAGCCCTCTGCTATCCCTGTGCTGAGCCTTGTGAGGAGGCACAGCCCTGCCAACCTAGGCATTTGGCCATCAGACCCCCACCCTCCAGTCTTCCCACCATGCCTGCCCTGCTAGTTATCTGGGCCTGGCGTGTCATGAACCCCCCCAATTTGGAGGCCTTCCCAACGGCCCACTGTGATCACAGCACGGCTCTTGGGCTCATAGTGAACAGCCTGGCAGAGGTGATGGTACCTCAGGCCCATCGGCTTATCTGGTGTGAATGGAGCTCCCTGAAGACAGGCTGGCCCTGTCCATGGATTCTCCTGAGCCCTGGAGAGCTCACATGGCAGAGAACAAACAAATGCTCCCTCGGACCCGTGCAGTGGGCGTGTACCAGCCTGGGTCCCCGGCACTGTGGGGGCTGCTGGGTGTGGCCCTCGGGGAGTGCTCAGCATAGGATCTGACCGGCAGGCAGCCTACTGGGCACGGTCGCTGCAGTCATGAGTACCAGCGACTTCCAGCAGTGACTGAGTCCCTGAGGCATTGGCAGACAGTTACCCAGCATGCCAGGGAGGACCTGGCAGACAGTTACCCAGCGCGCCAGGGAGGACCTGGCAAACAGTTACCTAGTGCGCCAGGGAGGACGCTGCCATGAGCCACTGAGAAGAGGAGGAGGAGGAACTTGTGGGATCCGCCCCGTCCAGGGGTGCAAGAATCTCGGCAAGTCCACAGGATGGCTGGCACCGAGTCCCAGCTCCCACTGCGTTGATGCCCAGGAGGCCACCCCATGCCATGGCGCCTGAACTCTCCTAGCCAGCAGCCTTCCCACACGCACCCCTGAGGAAAGGGACTTCTCCCCAGTGTCAGGGCCAGAGGCAGGTGTAGCCCCTGTGGGGCCCTGGGCAGAGCCATGGCATTTGGGAATAGAAACTCAGGCGGATGGGCTGTGAGGCGTTTGCTTCGTCCTGACCCTGTGTGACTTCCACAGGTCAGAGTCCTGCCTGGGAGGGAAACAGCTGAGCCAACTTGGCCAGGAGCAGTGCTTTGACGGATGGAGCAATGGCACAGTAACAGCCACCAGCGGGTGGGGAAAGACAGGGAGCTGGGGGTCAGGGAGCCGGGTGAGACAGGAGCTAGACTCAAGTCTGAGACAAACTCACCCCCTGCCCTTTCCCTGCCCCAGTCCAGAAATGCACAGGTACCTACAGCAGAGCCCACAGCAGGTGTGTGAGTCCTGCCCCCGAGGCCACGTGATTCTTCTTGCTGGTGATGCCAGGTGCATCCTGCTGGGGTGGGGGTGCTGGGGAGGGGCCACCCCCAGTTCCCACAACTGCCTCCCTCTCAGAGAGGGTGGATGGAGACTGGAGCAGGGCTGAACATGGACGCCAGTGCTCACCTTGATTCCCGGGAAGGTGACAGCCGAGGAGGCGTAGGACCCAATCATCAGGGCAATAAACGTGGACCGAAGGTCTCCGAACATGTTGGGCAGCTGAGAGATAAGAAGCAGGGAAGCCTCAGTGGGAGGAGGCACTGGGGAAGCACAGGAGGAGTGGGCAGATGACCAGGCCTATCAGCCCCTCTTCACCTGCGTCCCTCCTGTGTGACTCACAGGGCAGTAGTCCAGGAGTGATGACCGCTCACTCAAAGTGTCTCCTCTCTGCACCGGGGCTGATACGGGCAAGGAGGGAGGTCACACAGGGTACAAGTGGCTGCCTGACTGCAGCGGGCAACCCTCCCTGGCTCTCTGCTCCCAGCAGAACCCAGGAGCCTTCTTGTCCTTCCAGGGTAACACTGAGATGCCAGAGAACAAAGTTATGAGCCTCAGGCAGCCCTCAAAGGGAGAGAGCCTGTTAAAAATAAGCATCTATTTGGGGACAATCAAGACATTTTATAAATAAAAATATCAGCATCCCAGAAAGACCAGATGTCAGCAAAAACTACTTTTGGTTTGGAGAGAGTAGGTTTTGGGAAGGTTTCAATCAGAATTCAACAGTTCTCTCTGGTCTGGTGATGAAGATGGCCCAGGAGTCCTGCTTCTAAATTTCTTTGTTTTTGAGATGGGGTTTCGCTCTTGTCGCCCAGGCTGGAGTGCAGTGGTGCAATCTCAGCTCATTGCAACCTCCGCTTCCCCGCTTTAAGCGATTCTCCTGCATCAGCCTCCCAAGTAGCTGAGATCAGAGGCGCCCACCACCACACCTGGCTAATTTTGTATTTTTAGTAGAGATGGGGTTTCTCCTTGTTGGCCAGGCTGGTCTCAGGTGATCTGCCCGCCTCGGCCCCTCAAAGTGCTGGGATTACAGGCGTGAGCCACTGTGCCTGGCCCGCTAGCCTTTATTTTTGTAGAGATGGGGTCTCATTATATTGCTCAGGCTAGTAGTGAACTCCTGGCCTCAAGCGATGCTCCCAGCTTGGCCTCCCCCCCAAAAAACTAAACCATTTTCTGTTATCAAACCTGCCTACCTACAAACAAATTAATCGCAGCTGAGGAGAGGCAGTCTGCACGTGGCGACATGCTGTCTCCAATCATTTCCACCTGTTTTGCCCACAGTTAAAAATGAGTAAGATATCGTCAAAATGTACACCTTCTGTGCTTTAAAGGATGGCATCGAGAAAGTGAAAAGAGACGGGAGTGGTGGCTCAGGCCTGGCATCCCAGCACTCTGGACGGCTGAGGCAGCAGGATTACTTGAGGGCAGGAGTTGGAGAAAGTGAAAAGAATGCACAGAATTCAAGAAACTTCTTACAAACCATCGATCTAATCAGGAGCTTGCATCTAGAGTATGTAAAGACAGCACCCAATAGTCATTCAAAAAACAAAAAACAGAACATACAAGAACCCTTACCACTCAATAATAAAATGATACATAACCCATTTTTTTTTTTATATGGAGTCTTGCTCTGTCTCCCAGGCTGGAGTGCAGTGGTGCCATCTCGGCTCACTGCAACCTGTCTCCTGGGTTCAAGCGATTCTCCTGCCTCAGCCTCCCCAGCAGCTGGGATTGCAGGTAGTGTCACTGTGCCCAGCAATTTTTGAAATAACCAATTTTTTAAATGGGCAAAGATCTAAATAGACATTTCTCCAAAGAAGATATACAAATGGCCATTAAGCGTATGAAAAGAAGCTCAACACCATTAATCACAGTGAAATGCAAATCAAAACCACAGTGAGATACCACTTGATACTCACTAGGATATCAAAAAATCACAGTCAGACGGGGTGCAGTGGCTCACACCTATAATCCCAGCCCTTTGGGAGGTCGAGGCTGGCGATCACTTGAGGCCAGGAGTTCAAGACCAGCCTGGGCAACATAGTGAGACCCTCGTCTCTACCAAAAATATAAAAAATTAGCTGGGTGTGGTGGAACATGCCTATAATCCCACCTACTTGGGAGGCTGAGGCAGGAATCGCTTGAATCCAGGAGACAGAGGTTACAGCAGTGAGCCGAGATCACGCCACTGCACTCCAGCCTGGGTGACAGAGCAAGACTCCATTTACAAAAAAAGAAATGAGGCCGGGCGCGTGGCTCACGCCTGTAATCCCAGCACTTTGGGAGGCTAAGATGCGTGGATCACCTGAGGTCAGGAGTTCGAGACCAGCCTGGCCAACATGGTGAAACCCCATTTCTATAAAAATGCAAAAATGACCTGGGCATAATGGCAGGTGCCTGTAATCCTAGCTACTGTGGAGGCTGGGGCAGGACAATCACTTGAACCTGAAAGGTGGAGGCTGCAGTGACCCGAGATCACATCACTGAACTTCAGCCTGGTGACAAAGCAAGACTCTGTCTCAAAGAAAAAAAAAAAAGAGAATGCTCTGCAGACAGCCTGCCAGGGAGGCCTTTGCCCTACCTTCTTAACCTCAAGTCTGGCTTAAACCTACCTAGGCTACAGACCAACAGAGCCACAGGGATTTGGGGTGAGTGAGCTCATGGCTCTGCCCGGTCTCCGCAGCACTCGATCCAGGATGGGGAAGAGCAGAACCTGGGGAAAAGACCGACTCTCCATCTGTCCACGGATGAGGCCCTCGCCTGCAGGCCTGGACAGGTCAGGGGCCTCCCCAATGCTCCCTTTGATACCCTGTCTCTTGCCGCCTGGAATGTTCTTATAAGCGCCAAGAAAATTCTTCCCAACATGTGATTCCGGTCAGGAGAGCCATTCTTTAGCAGGGTAGAGTGCCTTAGGGGAGCCCACACTAGGCAGCCTTCAAACCAACATCTTGTAAAACATCTTGTATTTTAAATTGTGAACTTTTCCTTACTAAAGTAATGCATGGGCCAGTTGTGGTGGCTCACATTTGTAATCCCAGCACTTTGGGAGCCCGAGGTGGGCGGCTCACAAGGTCAAGAGATCGAGACCATTCTGGCCAATATGGTGAAACCCCATCTCTACTAAAAAATACAAAAATTAGTTGGGCGTGGTGGCATGTGCCTGTAATCCCAGCTACTGGGAGGCTGAGGCAGGAGAATCGCTTGAACCTGGGAGGTGGAGATTGCACTGCTGCACTCCAGCCCAGAGCGAGACTCTGCCTCAAAAACAAGAAAAGTAATGCATGTCCATTGCAAAATGTTTGGAACAAAGTATAGAAAGAATAACGTGAAAATCACCCTAAGGCCAGACATGGTGGCTCATATGCATAATCCCAGCACTCTGGGAGTCTGAGGCAGGCAGATCACTTGAGGCCATGAGTTCAGGACCAGCCTGGCCAACATGGTAAAACTATCTCTACCAAAAATACAAAAAATTAGCCGGACATGGTGGTGGACACCTATAATCCCAGCTACTTGGGAGGCTGAGGCAGGAGGATCACTTGAACCTGGGAGGCAGAGGTTCCCATGAGCAGAGATTGAGCCACTGCACTCCAGCCTGGGTGACACAGTGAGACTCAGTCTCAAAACAAAAACAAAAAACAAAACAAATAACAACAACTTTATATGTGTGTGTATATATATACACGTTTGAATGGACTTCCTTAAGGATAAACGTATGTACACACAACTATTTTTATTTTCTTTTTTATGACCATACCTGAGACTTAAAACTATTATTTCTTTAAGGTAAATTCCTGAAAGTAGAATCATTAGGCAAAAGAGAACACACTTTTTTTTTGAGATGGAGTCTCACTCTGTCACCCAGGCTGGAGTGCAGTGGTATGATCTCAGCTCATTGCAACCTCCACCTCCCAGGTTCAAGCAATTCTCCTGCCTCAGCCTCCTGAGCAGCTGAGATTACAGGCGCCCACCACCACCCCTGGCTAATTTTTGTATTTTTAGTGGAGACAGGGTTTCACCATGTTGGTCAGGCTGGTCTTGAACTCCTGACCTCAAGTGATCCACCTGCAATGTTGACACCTAACATTTTACCCTTGAAATTTTACCTGTAGATACAGAAAGAATGGGTCCATATGAGGGTATCATTAAGCTCTTGCATAACACATCTGCCACCTCTGCAGGGTTGTCATGGTAACGAATAATTTTCCACCCCTCCCAGTTTGGTGGTTTTATTTCTGTTTTCTTTTCTTTTCTTTCTGAGATGGAGTGTTCCCCCATCGCCCAGGCTGGAGTGTAGTGTGATCTCGGCTCACTGCAACCTCTGCCTCCTGGGTTCAAGCGATTCTCCTGCCTCAGCCTTCTGAGTAGCTGAGACTTACAAGTGCACACCAACACAACTGGCTAATTTTTTTTTTTTTTTTTTTTTGAGACAGAGTTTCATTCTTGTTGCCCAGGCTGGAATGCGTGGTGCGATCTCTGCTCACTGCAACCTACGCCTCCCAGGTTCAAGCGATTCTCCTGCCTCAGCCTCCTGAGTAGCCGAGATTACAGGCACCTGCCACCACGCCTGGCTAATTTTTCATTTTCAGTACAGATGGGGTTTCATCATGTTGGCCAGGCTGGTGTCAAACTCCTGACCCTCAGGTGATCTGCCCACCTCTGCTTCCCAAAGTGCTGGGATTACTGGCATGAGCCACTGTGCCTGGCCCCAGCTAATTTTTTTGTATCTTTAGTAGAGACAGGGTTTCACCATGTTGGCTGGGGTGGTCTCGAACTCCTGACCTCATGATCCACCGCACCCGGCAGTGGTGTTTTTTTTTTTTAAGTAAAATGTCTGAAATAGAAAAATGCTGCCATTTGTTTCTCTTAATGCATTGAAAACAGTGGAAGTTTGCAGATTTTAAATTCTTTTTTTTTTTTTTTTGAGACAGAGTTTCGCTCTTGTTACCCAGGCTAGAGTGCAATGGCGTGATCTCGGCTCACCGCAACCTCCGCCTCCTGGATTCAGGCAATTCTCCTGCCTCAGCCTCCTGAGTAGCTGGGATTACAGGCACGCGCCACCATGCCCAGCTAATTTTTTGTATTTTTAGTAGAGACAGGGTTTCACCATGTTGACCAGGATGGTCTCGATCTCTTGACCTCGTGATCCACCCGCCTCAGCCTCCCAAAGTGCTGGGATTACAGGTGTGAGCCACCGCGCCCGGCTAAGATTTTAAATTCTT